CATGACTTTCCCATGGATCGTAGAGGATATCTACTGTTGATCTTCTAAGTCTCTATCTGGCAGTTAGAATAATTTCAACTTTCCATGCCTTGTTCAAAGGCAGTTCCTTGAAATCCTATTATTATGATTAAACACAAGATGTAACATTTGCTGCAGGCATATTTCAAGAAACATTGATGCTTAACACATGGAAGACATCCGGTATCTTTTAACCATCATATGAAAGCAACCTTTGGTATTTGTCCAGATATCTTTATTTTTTAAAAATAATCTTCTAGGAAAATAAACATTATTTTTCTGCCACTTCAATCCACCTGCATATTCCCTAGGCTCACACTCCCCTCCTAACTCCATCTAATCAATAGTATTCCATCCAGCTAACTGTATACCCAGTATTCATTTTGATTTGGCTTGAATTGACACACCTGTGCAAGTAGCTTTGGAACAGGCTCTCATAACTTCAATGCCGGTGTTTGCTCATAGACAGAATCCAGTTGCTGAATCATCACCACCACACACATCGCTAATTTCTTTCACCATTTTCTAGGTATGAATTATAACCACTGCCTGGCATCCATGTGGAGTGTGCTTTGAGATCCTTATTTCATAGCATATAAATAAGAATTCTTTTCCTAAATTTATTTACTTAAGATAAATGTAATCGTTATTCACATTTCCTGGCTTAGGGGATAATCCACCGGTACATAAGTTGTAGTGGTTACATTTATTGTACACATTCCCGAGGTACAGAGTATTTGAGCCCATATATAATGATCAGTAATCAAATAAGAGTATGTGGCATGCCCGTCTCTCCAGACACTTAAGAAAGAACTCTGAGCTCTTCTTGTCTTCTTTTTCCCTTTTCTTCCTTTGCCCCTTTACATTTTCAGGCAGAGGCTAAGTATGTAGTGCAGACTGGTCTCAGACTCACACTTGTAGTCTCGTTTCAATTCCCCCAGTGTCCAATTTACAGCCGTACAGGATCATATCTGCTTTCGATTTTCAACTAAGCAAGTAATTACCCAGATAATCAAACTCTCAGGCAGTCCTGGAGTGTGTGTAAAAGATGGAACTACCTGTATTCCTGTCTCCTACGCTCGCTTAGCGGTCTGAGTTTCCTTGCATCCTGACTTCCTCTGTGGACTTGCAATTGAGAGTCATTACTGCCAAGGCATCCAGCTGCTTAATTGTACGTCTAAGAAAAAGAGCACATACATTAAGTCAAATAACACTATAGGCTGGAGATGAAAACAAATCGGTGCTCCCCTGTCTGCGTTATCCCCCACACAATTACATTGCTGTCCGGTCTCTAGAGACAACGCTTTTCAATTCTCAGTGTCTGATGGCTGAGACGTTACAGACGATGTACTCAAACCCTTTCCTTCAGTGTTCATTTTCTTCCTGGCTTCTGAGAACAGCTTAGGCCTGATGTCACAGCCTGCTCCTTTACTTCACACGTCATCCTGGCAACTTACAATACACTTTAAAACACTAACAATTCTAGTTCATGTAAACAGTATCAGCTACAGTATCTATAGTTAATCATTTTTAAACAGTGTCGTGTATATTACTCATAGCTTAATCATATTTTAGCGAATTCGACCTATGTTTTTTGTGGTTTTAATAATTGCTCATATACTTTGTTTATTTCCATTTTCCAGTCACGGTTTTGCAGCCTATTTCTCTCTGGAGCACGCCTCTAAGAACCTGTTCCGTGCCGCTGCCATCCATGTTCTCACTGGAGTGACTCTGCTCTGGATGGTCGCAATGCTACATCCCTTAATTAACTAATTAATATTCCCTGACAAGTGGGGATGAGCTCCACACTCCTATCTTGGTGCTTCTTCGTGGTTTCAGCTTGGAGTTAGTTGCTCGCCTATTCTCTGTTTCTTCTGTGAAGGCAGCAAGCAAGCAGAGCAATGTGGACACTTCAGTCAGCTCTGAGGAGACCTCTGGGCTCCTCTCTTTTCGTTTACAATATCACCGTCCTGTAGCCAAGTCTTCTGTTCTCTTTTCCCTATTGCTATTATTTTTCTTCTGAATGAAATACTTAAGTACACTTTTTACACCTTTATTGCTGTCATAATGTCTTTCTGAGATGAGGGCTTGTTCATTCTATCATGTGCAGCTTGAAATTAGGGTAGTCAGGTCATAAGACAAAGAGGGGCACAAAGTCTGATGGTATAAAAACAGACAGTTCATTACAGCATGAAGTCCTCCTGCACATCCACCAGGCAGACAATAAGGCACTGATGCATTTCTCTAGACTTCCTTTGTCAGTGGATGCAGGAGAGTGTTAGTTTATAGCCTAAGTGGATGAATGAGTTCTGATTTCTGCCCATGCTCATACCCACAAGGCCTTACGCCCGTTGGATGTCCATCGTAGCTGAGTATGAGACTTCCTAGAATCTAGGAACAGCAATTATAAATTTTATTTTAAATACATACTAAGTCCCTAATAAAGTGTTTCAGACACACGGTACAAATCAGTGAATGATGCTTCTTCCATGGAAGAATTGCCATTCTAGCCACAGAAGACACATTTGTCCCCTGAATGCAGTCTAATTTCAATGTTAGTGAAAATTAACATGTATCTGGAATTAGGAGATGGGGTTTGCCAAAGGAGGGAATGGCTGCAATTTAAATTAAAGTAGGTATTTTAAATGTGTACTACTGAAAGGGTGGCATGCTAAAAAAGTGAGGGGTTGCGGCAGTTTTATTATATGGGGAAGGTGGAGGCAAGTAAAATGAACGGTGGAGTTAGAGCCTAGCGGCACAAAGCCTAAATGGGCACGTGGTAGCATCCAGAGCATCCTAAGGAAGGAAGACAAGATGGCGTCAGCTCGCATGCAGCTATATGCCAAGCTGCAGTATCAGAAGAGTATCAGATTGCTACATCGTAAAAGACAGCTCTCCATATCAAGGCAGGATGCGAAGTCCGTGAATGCATGATTGAACAATGCCACTTCAGACAGTAGCATGCTATTCAGCACTGAAAAAAAAGTGCTATCAAGCCGCGAAAGACACAGAAGAAATTTATACACACCTTAAACACTCCAAGAAGCCAAGGGGGGAAATGCTACATCTGTATGATTTCAAATAAGTGCTCTACCGGAAAAGGCAAAACAGGGGAGACAATGAAGAGATCACTATAGGCCTGGAATTAGAATGGAGGTAGGGACTTGGGTTAGTAGAGCGCGGGGATTCTCAGGACAATGAAATTGTAAGATATTCTGATGATGGTGCTGAATATCATAATCAATTCATCACACCCCCCAGAATGTACAGCACAAGGTTGTGTGTGATGATGTGTACCTGTGCAGCTTCATCAGAAGGATGTAATCCTGAGACCCTGCCTACGTGTGTGTACAGGGAATATGGGAAATATCTTTGTTATCGTGTTTAAAACGGTGGGAAGGAGTCGTGCTATACAACAGGGCTCACATGGGAGATTTACTAGAATAGGAGAGAGAAAGGTCAGAAAAGGGGACAGAGAAGTGGGCAGAAAGGGGGTAGAAGAGAAAGAGAGGCAGGTGGACAGAAAGGAGGTGGGCAAGGCCTACCCTTTTAAAAGGGAACGTAGTGAATGTGCACAGGAGGTGCTCTTAGTGACTGAAGCTGAGGACATACCCTGTCAGGACCCCAAGGGCAGGCCAGTACAGATGCCTGAATACTAACTCTCTCCACTTTCTCCTTAGTATTCAAGCAAATCTGAAACTGTTCTACAACTTGGAAAGGAGTTTCCTGGCTGCTGTGTTGTCAATAGGATACTCGAGAACGAAGATGGGGCGCCTGGACCAGTTTGGATCTATTTTAGGACTCCAGCAAGGACTGGCAGTGGTGGTTCATACCAGACAGGTGCTAAGTGGGAAACTTTTATTTAGAGTCTGGAAATTCTGAAGCTATGATCAATAAGATTTTCAGACAAAACATTTGAATGAAGTAATACAAGCAGAAGGTACAAGTCCTTGACTGAACTATAGGAAGGTTGGAAACTCTTTGCTAAAGTAGTTTTAAGAAAAGATTGGAGTTAGGATTAGTCAAGTTGAATTGACAATCAAGTAGATATGTCAATTATTTCATTAAACAAGTTCACTATCTGTATTCAGCTAATGTGGAATCTGACAGAGTTATTATTATTATTATTATTATTATTATTATTTTGCCCTGCCTCTGTCCTTGCCAAATGATACTTGAAAATCTCAAGCTGCTACTTCTCCAGTAGCAGTCTCAAGCAAAAAAAAAAAAAATTCTTTAACAAAGCTCCTTCCTATTTTGCTGCAATAAATGCAAATCCTGAAGGTCTTGGAAAAGACCAGGCTGTGGAGTTCATATTCCTCAAGGACAGCAAGACCCCTGCCCTTTTTCTCTCAGAATCATTGTTTCTGCCAGTTTACATCTTAGGCAATCTTCTGCTTCTAGGTACACGTTCTCTCTTCTCCAGCTGTGGAATAAGACTTGTGTTGAGACTAGTCATCTTTCTTCTTCCTTTCCATTCGTTTTCCTCTGTCAATTTCAGAGTTAGGACGTTCTTCCCATTCTCTCATTTTAACTTTAACTCAAATGCTCACCCTCTTAGGCTCAAGCACCATCGCTAAACTGTTTATTCATTTTTAATGAGTCGCTGTCAGAGGCTGGCTGAAGATGCAGATGTGGGGGCATCATTTAATAAGCTGTGGAAGGCAGTGGGAGGGCAAATTAATGCAAATGGTTCCTAGCTCCCATTTCTGCCTCCTTACAAACTCAAATGTGAGTGTTGTCTGCTCTAAATGTGTGATCAAGCTGTGCTACAGAGTCCACTAATCCACTAGCAAACATCACTATGGCCATCTCCCCACCCCCTTCCATCGACTCTTTTGTCTGCTTGTACTTGCTCAGACTCTCAGGTCTCCAAGGTTTGAATCTCCAAGAATTTCCACTAAGTCCAACAATTTGCCTAACATTAATTGTCTCTCTTTAGAAATAGTTCTACTACATTCCACTGCCAATTCTGGGTACAATCAGTTTGTTTTAAGAGTCTCTTCATATGGAGGTGGAGGACCTAAGGCACTAAAACATGGAGCAGGACCCAGTTCAGTGTTTGGAGCAGGGAGGCCTATTCCAGATGTTGGACTTCCAGCCATTTCTGTCTCTGGGAAAAGAAAAGAGGGGGTATGAGTTACCATTCAGGGGAGTATACAGGCAGTCACAGAGCTGATGAATCTGGCTTTTCTTGAATCACTGGAGCAACAAAAATTTATTTGTGCCCTTGACAAAAATATGGCCACCTTTCTCATCACACTGATAGCTGAGTCACTATGAGGATGATCTGATGACACCAGCACGACCAATGCACCAGGAAACATTGACAGAGCAGCAGATGAGGCCAAACAGCAACATTCTGTTGGGGACTACAAAGCCGATTCCTCTAAACAGTTGTGCTGTTTTTGCTAAAGCTGATGGGCTAATAGGAACCCCAAGTCTCACTAGGAACATTAGACTATTACTAAACTCCACTGTGTCATATTTAGGTTCTCAAAATATAACAAATACAAAAAGTGCAGTATTTCCTTGAAAAAGGAGTAAGCGTGTTGAGATAGGTGGTGACAATCTTCCACTTAAAATGCATGCAGAATAAAGACAAAACATCCTAAATTAAAGAACTTTCAAATTGATGTCCTTATGCCCAGATTATGTACAGCACAGCCATTAAACAAGCATTTGCTTTTATAATGTGGTAACCTTGAAAGGCCTTGAATTTTTTTTCCAGTAGCTCTTTCAGAAATCAGTATTTCCTTGAAGGACTATTTTTGAGTCACTGAAAAATCAATAGTAATATTTTATAACCTTCTCTTTTTGCATACCTATTCTTTCTATTCTGGATGTTTATCTAACTCTGAATTACTTTGACATTTTTATCTACAAACATAAACTGAAACACAACATTCCACATATTTGCATATTGATTATGTCTGCTTTTGAATTATAATGATGGGGTCATTAGTCCGTCTAGAAACTGTAGGGGTTACAAAAATAAAATTGTTTCTCTCTGTCCTCTAGCTGAAGAGGTTCAGGAACCTTTCTGAAAGGGTTCAGAGTTGTTAGCATCCGGAAGCTTGCAAAGAATATACTATACATAGTTTACCAATGGGTTCAGAGTATAGACATTAGCTCACTGCAGGAATCAGTCTTCACATTATCAAATGGTTACTTTATGTGTATTATTATAACTTAGCATCATTTTTCCACACTTGTGTATTTGCCTTATTTCATATCTTGTTGGCTGTCAGTTATTACCACTAAATGAGAAAGACAGAAGTGTATTGAATATATTTAAATTTACTTCTTGCTCCAGGATTTTTTTTAGTATGATTTTTAATTGAATAACCCAACCTATGCTATATATTTATTTAGCTCACTTTTCTCTTCTTCAGCAAAAGGATAATGATGGTGTCTATCTCCGTAAAAGCAACATTAACCGTCTGGAGATGGGGTGGAGTTTGATTGGCATGTGCAAGACCTAGGTTTAATCTCCAGCACTGAAGAAGGAAATCATAGGAAAACCAAATGCATATATAATGTTCGAAATAAGCCAGGCATATATACCACCAAATACTGTGCAGTGTTAGGAACATGTAGCAATTTAAATCTGTAAGGTTATTTTCTTATCAATTCTACTTTAATGGTTATTTAATGATTTAAATCATCTTTATCATTATTAGGTATGGCAAAAATCACTACATAAAAGTTTAGCAAGGTAAAAAAAACCTTGGACTGAGGTCAGCTAAGCTTCCCCATCAGAGTTGCAGCTGATTTTATACAGTCCCCTTATCTCAGTAATTACCTCCATTCAGAAGTATGCAATGAACAGCAGCCATTTTCCTGGTAGACTGTTGCTAATGTAGTCAGCTTGAAGTCAGCAGTAACTTAGCCTGATACCTGGGAACGTTTGGCCAGTGGCTTGACACATTCATATTTCTGCTAGGTTTAATTGATTTCTCCTGCTGACATCAATATTGTGATCCTGGTGATCTGATCCTGACAACAGATCTCTGTAATGCGGAATTATTATCTCTTTACTACAAATTTGCTTGTTACTTTTATGAAAGACATCGGTGTTTTATCGGTAAATTAATTAAGCCAATGATCTTAGAAAACTTGAAAACTGAAGATATACCTCCTGCTATCTTTTTTGTTCCCAGAGTGTATTTATATATAATTTCATGTGGTTTCAACTGGGGGGCAGGGGATTTATTATTTCTTTGTTTGCTTGCTTGTTTATTTATAGGGCATGTACGGAGGCCTGTGGACAACTTGTGAAGGCCAGTTCTCCCCTCCCACGATGTGGCTCTGGGAACTGAACTCAAGTCATCAGATGTGGCAGCAAGTGCCATTACCCAGCCAAGGCATTTTGCCACTCTCATGTTATCTTTACCTGATAACAAGTTAACTCTGTTTAAAAGCATTGAGAAAATTCTACGGCTTTGCCAGTAAACTGTGGTCTGAAGGACGCACTTATTTTTCAGCTTTGTAAAACCCACACATTTATCATTGAGTTATTATAATTAGAGTCCAGATTTCTTACATCACTGATAACAATTCCAACAGATTTCACTTACATTAACATACATTTTCTACATCTTTCATTGCTTACCCCTCATTGCGAAGTGGGGAAGGAGGATGTCTCACTGCAGAAGTTCCCTCCTGCAGGCTTTGAACTTACTATGTGGTCCAGGCTGCCCTGGAACCTGCAGTCCTGCTTAAGTCTCTAGAGCACTGGGATTACAGATATGAATCACCATGCTTGGTCATACTCCCGTTTTCTCTCTCCCTCCTCACATAGAGGAATAGCTAAAAAGTCTGAACGGGAGGCATCGTTCTGTCATAATACCATGCATGTGGATTCATTTGTGAACGCCTTTCTTTCTGCATCTTCAGAATAGTGAAAACAATAGCAAAGTTTTAGAGAGCTGTTGGGAGGAACAAGTAAGAGTTAAGGTATATATATGGGAAACACTGAATCATCTGCCCTTTGCACGTCTTTCCACAAACTGTGTGAAGGAAACCCATCTTCTTCCCTTCCTGATACACCATAAGGTATTTACACGTGGAATATAAACTCTACAAAGAAAATCTCTAACAGGTCCTGTAATAAAAGAATCCTGAGCCACCTATTGGGGAAAGACTTGGACATGCCAAGGCTTGCTTCTAGTCTGGTCCCTCCAGTCATTTCTCTTCCCAGCTAGGAACACTCACATCTAATCATGACCGGAAAACCAGATCTTTTTTTTTCTGAAATAGGAGTGATGTAGGAGAGTCTTCTGTTTTGTGTTGATTTCATTGGTTAAATAAAAAAACTGCCTTGGCCTTTTTGATAGGGCAGAAAATTAGGTAGGTGGAGTAGACAGAACAGGAAGCTGGGTAGAAGGCAGTGAGGCAGATGCCATGAAGCTCCGGCCTGAGATGGACATAGGTTAGAATCTTCCAGGTAAGCTATGACCTCGTGGTGACATACAGATTATTAGAAAGGGGCTAAAAGAATATGTGAGAGTTAGCCAAAAAGAGGCTAGATATAATGGGTCAGGCAGCGTTTAAATGAATACAGTTTCCGTGTAATTATTTTGGATTAACCAGCTGGGAGCAGAGAGGGATGAAAAGCAGCCCGCCCACTCCTTTTACAACATAGGAGAAAGAAAAAAATTCATGCATGAAACAGCAGAAATGATGGGGTTAGAGAGATTGCCAGCTGGAAGGCAGTTTACTTAAGCCATCAGCCCTGAGAGGCTAGGATAGACTGAGCATTCCAGGAGGGGCAGAGTTAGAGGTCCTTATCAGGGACAAGTGTGACCCCACCCATGGAGTGAGGGCAGGAGGATGGCTGTTGGTGTCACAGTTGACTGGTACTGTTCATGAAAGTGAGCACAAACAAAGGAGGAGCTGTCTCTTCTGTTGTCTTCTAATGAATGCCAGCTCACTTATATACCTTAGCTGTCTTCCACTCCCTCCCAAACCTCCAAATTATTACCCTTCATATCACCAAATGCTGACTTCTTTATTAAAATGGGCTTCTATTCAGCTATTCAGATCTATTGCCTTACTTTCCATGAGGTCACAATTTACCCTTAGTTTTAGTGAATTATTTTTATTAATATATTGAAAACAAAAAACCTTGACATTACTTTTCAAATACAAACTAAAGCACAATTAATCTAACAAACTAAGATTCTTGTATTTATTTTCCTATTTCTCTATTTTGATATTATTGCAATATTTATTCTACTGTTTTAATGTACTTACTTTACCTAATGGAATATAATAATAACTGATACAGAGCCTTTGCTTGTTGTTAGTTAAAACTTACACAGATTTATTTATTGCAAAAAGATGTCATCATTGGACCAGGAGATGTTCCTGTGGTCTGCAGTGTTTCACCGAGGTCCCAGGTGAGGGACCTTTCTCAGAGCTGATAGCTAGTCAGACATCACTATGGTCTGTGCTGGCAACACCTTATATATACAGATGAAGAACTCTGTGCCTACTTCTTTTCTATTTAGTATTTCTAATCAAAGAAGTTGGCAACCTGTGGGACAATGGTCTTGTACCCTGTCACTTGTATTGTTTTAATAAAAAATGCTGATTGGCTAGTAGCCAGGCAAGAAGTATAGGCAGGGTGACCAGGCAGGAAGTCAAGGGGGAGCTAGAAACTACTGTCAACAAATGGTGCCAACGTGGACAACCACATCCACATAAAATCTGACAGAGCTTAGGAAGTAATTCTAGACAAAAAAAGAACAGAGTTAAGCATGGCCTCTTGGTAGCAGTATTTTTTCAGATGGGCTCCATTTGCTAGAGGCAAGTTCTTATTTAAGAGAGGCTTCCTGACTCAGCTTTAGCTGCAAAAACCTTGCAGCCCCTTTAAAAGGCCCTGGCATAAAATACTTAAATGGTGTTTATGAATAGCCAACAGCATGCTTCTGGGTGATGGTGGGACCCTGAAATGCCACAGAGTTGTAGCAATAAACATGACTCCCTCCGGTATCTCTACCTTGAGGCGAGACTCCCAGAAAGCGAAAAATAGGGTAGATCTAGCCATCAAAGCCATAGCTTTAATCCTAGCCATATGGCTTAGCAAATTAAAGATTCATGTGGTCA